CAGAGCCATATCAATAGAAGAAATAGACAAGGTTATCAAGGGATTACCAACAAAAAAATCCCCTGGATCAGATGTATTCACAGGCTAATTCTACCAAACATCTAGGGAAGAACTAACCCCAATGCTACACAAACTCTTCCAGAAGACAGAAAAAGACAGTAAACTCCCGAACTCCTTCTATGAAGCTAGTATAACTCTGATACCCAAACCAGGCAAAGATCCCACAAGAATTGAGAGCTACAGACCAATATCCCTAATGAACATTGATGCAAAAATGTTTAACAAAATATTGGCTAATAAAATACAAAAGTATATAAAACAAATAATTCACTATGACCAGGTGGGATTCATACCAGGGATGCAGGGATGGTTCAACATATGAAAGACCATTAGTATCATTCACCACATTGACATGTAAAACTATAAGAAACACATGATAATATTGATAGATGAAGAAAAAGCATTCGACAACATCCAACACCAATTCCTGTTTAAGACACTTGAGAAGATAGGAATGGAAAGAAAACTCTGTAAGACAATAAAAGCTATATATGAAAATCCAGCAGCCAACGTGGTAGTCAATGGAGAAAAGACTAACACAATCCTACTGAAAAAGGGGACCAGACACGGATGCCCCTTGTCCCCACTCTTATTTAATATCGTACTAGAGGTTTTAGCATAAGGCATAGGCAAATAAAAGACATCAAAGGTATTTTTCTGGGGAAGGAAGAGGTAAAACTATCATTATTTGCAGATGATATGACTTTATATATGGAAAATCCAAAAAGCTCCACACGGGGAGTAATGGAAGCAATAGAGGAGTTTGGCAGAGTGGCAGGATACAAGATCAGCAAACAGAAGTCCATCGGACTGCTATACACATCGGAGAAGACCACAGAAGAGGAGATCAAAAAGGTGGTACCCATCACAATAGCCAAGCACAAATGGAAATATCTAGGGATATACCTGACTAAAGGAACAAAAGATCTATATGAGGAAAATGACAGAACGCTATTACAAGAAACCAAGAGTGACCTCAACAAATGGAAGAATATCCCGTGCTTGTGGATTGGAAGAGTCAACATAGTAAATATGTCAGTTCTGCCTAAGGCACTATATAAGTTTAATGCAATCTCGATACACTTACCCTCATCTTTCTTCAAATAAGTGTAAAAACGGATTACCAGAAGCCCAGAATTAGCAGAGAACTCCTCAAGAAGATGGACACAGTGGGAGGTCTTACTCTACCTGACTTTAGTACATACTATACAGCCA